GGGGGCATAAACTGGGCTCCACAAACGTTCTAGGAAACAAACACAGTCAGTTATATTTTATAGCCATTCTAAAGCCTTTTTTAACAAGAACCTCTTGGGGTGCCAATCATTATTTCCTGTATTTTCATAGACTAAAATTACGGTTAAATTAAGCTGATTACCTGCCTGATAACCCACCTTTACCGAGGGTGCCCGTAATGACAGAGCTGTCTGTATCCAGCAAATACGCTGTAATCCAGGGGTGTCAAACGCAGCACTAACGTTTTAAAAGATCTCAACAAACCAGAAAACGCCTGGCTTGGTGACATAAGAGGGGTGCACAAACTTTTGTCCACATGATGAACAATGACTGTAGTAATACTGAAAATACAAAGGATTATTCAGTTCCATGATGTTGAGCGTCTCGCCGATCCTGCAGGAAACGACTTTAGACTGTTTTTACGTGGAAACTGTACAGCCAATCATGAAGCTGCACACACGAACACAGTCAGACTAACATTCAGGAGTTGGTTACGCGTCGGTATCTTAAAAACTGTGGACACAAACTCATCAGAAAAATAATAAGAATATGTATATTTGTGGTGGGGTCGCGGTGGGGTGCTGCAGCCTATCCCAGCTGTCATTGGGCGGAAGGCAGGATACACCCTGGACAGGTCGCCAGTCCATCGCAGGGCAGACAGACATACACACACACTCACACACACACTCACACACACCTAGGGGCAATTTGAACATGTCCAATTGGCCTGACTGCATGTTTTTGGACTGTGGGAGGAACCCAGAAGGATAAGCGGTTTAGATGATGTATGTATGTATGTATATTTGATAACAGACGTGCTGTGCACTGTGCGGTCAGTAGTGCGTGTGTAGTTAGTCTAAGTGAGTACAGGGTAAGCGGTCAGTGTGAAGGCAGAGCGAGTTCTGAGTGAGCGGGTTCAGCCTGAGCGCTCAGTGCAGCAGTAAAGTTACTCACGCTTTTCTGATTAACTGTCATTACGGGCAGATTTGTCCTGAACCGCCGGCTGACCCGGAGAGAGAGCAGGTGTTGGCTTCCATTTATAGCCCCGCCGGTCTCTGTGTAAATATATGAGCGCCGCTCAGCTGCGTGTTGTAGCTCCAGCCTCCACAGCTGCACCTGTCGCCCCACTTTACCTCAAAAAACCTTCCCATAATTCAGTATTTAAACCGCAGACCGTCAGCAGGGAAACTCTCGTCCATCTGCTCGCTGCTCCAGAGCTGCTGCTGTTTCCAGGAATTCCCCACGCTGGAGTTTAGCTTCGGTCCAGCAGTGCAGATACTCGCTAACAGACGGCCAGGTGAGAAACACCTCAGTGCAGGTTCACTGATCTGCACTCGAACGCTTTGTTTACACGTCACGTCTCGTATTTAAAGACACCGAATTTTACATGGTTTTAGTAAAACAGTTTGAACCAGTACATTGTTTAAGTTTTAGTTTAGCCCCTCCCACTTAGGCTACAGCAGTTTAGCCCCACCCATTCAGCCTACAGCAGTTTAGCCCCTCCCATTCAACCCATAGCAGTTTGGCCCCACCCATTCAGCCTACAGCAGTTTAGCCCCACCCATTCAGCCTACAGCAATTTAGCCCCACCCATTCAGCCTACAGCAGTTTAGCCCCTCCCATTCAACCCATAGCAGTTTGGCCCCACCCATTCAGCCTACAGTAGTTTAGCCCCGCCCATTTAGCCTACAGCAGTTTAGCCCCACCCATTCAGCCTACAGCAGTTTAGCTCCACCCATTCAGCCTACAGCAGTTTAGCCCCTCCCATTCAGCCTACAGCAGTTTAGCCCCTCCCATTCAGCCTACAGCAATTTAGCCCCACCCATTCAGCCTACAGCAGTTTAGCCCCTCCCATTCAGGCTACAGCAGTTTAGCCCCACCCATTCAGCCTACAGCAATTTAGCCCCACCCATTCAGCCAGAAGTCCCAAATCTTTAGAATCATTGAAATTTTGTACGTAGTTTGACCAGAGGAGGATGGGTCCCCCCATGTGAGCCTTGGTTCCTCCCAAGGTTTCTTCCTCAGCTCTGAGGGAGTTTTTCCTGGCTTGCTCACCTGGAGGATTTACAGTTCATGTTGAGACTTTGTTCTAAACGGATTTCTGTGAAGCTGCTTTGTGACAACATCAGTTGTAAAAAGCGCTATACAAATAAATTTGATTTGATTTGATTTGATTGAGATATTTTTAATATTTACAATTGAGTTGACACTCCATTCATAAGAACTGACTGCAATACCCTGCATTGAGACCTATCACCCTCGACCTGCGGAGAGCGCATCAACAATGCACATATAATAAACAGGAACAGAAATGCCGAGTTAACAGTGTGATGTCAGCATTTTCCATTTTTAGTGACTGAAAATACCGTTTTTTGTGGACAAAAAATTTTGAGGCCAAAAACACAGAGAAGAAAAACACTTTTCAGACTTTACTTTACATACAAATACAATTTTATATACAATTTTATTTTACTTTACAAATCTAACTGCCTAATTCTACATTGCTGTTGATTTTCTGTGTGAATAAGTGAACACACCCACTACAGACTCACTACTGCACATTAAATAAACAATTATTGTTTATTTACTGAATTTCACATGCTGATAAAAACATAATACAACTTAAAATGTTGCCTGTGCAAAAGTTATAGCGCATTTTATTTTCTAGTTTTATTATGTTTCAGTGTGTTAGTTTTGGTAAATACATTAACGTGTGCAGAAGTGTGTTCTCTGTAGCGCAGTGGCTCCCAGACTATGGTATGTGAACCCTGAGGGGTACAGTGAATGACGTTGGGGGTAAAAGTCCTGTCACTTCATTCACACTTCATTTAATCTTCATTTCACTCCATCAGTCGGCTGTTCAATAACACAGACACTACCAGCCCTGCCTCCGCTCACCAACTGCTGACCAAGAGAACCTCACTGAGTCTGTTTACATGCTCTAAATAATCTGATAACTGCAGAAAATCAGATTTTGTCAGTAATCCAATCAACACGTTTATATGCACTTGAGTAATCAGATAATCGTGAAACTCTGGGTCTACATGAGTCAGACAGTAATCAGATTTCTGCTTTACAACCAGCAAATAAACTCACAGAAGAAGACGAGACATAAAATCAAACTTGTTGCTGCAGCTTTTTAAAAAAAGAAAAAAAATTGCGCCACTTTACCTGAGAATATGAACGTACATCACCCAGAAGACGAAGAATATTTAAATCCTTTATTCCGTGTTTGGTTTCAGCAGACGGTGTAAAAAAAGCGAGCAGCGATTTTCCATCATCTGATCTCGCGCATGCGCAGACTGAGAGAAATGAAAGAAATCAGAGTAAGAGTTCACATGCACTGAGAAATCTGATTACTGAGCTAAAATTAAAACTGACTTTAATATGAAGTCAGTGCCAGATTTCTAGTTAGCGGCTGTGACACATATGACGGAGTGGGGAATGAAATATACTTTTAACACATTTTTAGCACAGAACCATTACAAATGGGCTTTAATAGGTATTTTGTTTTATTGCTTTATTTGTGATTATTTGTAAACAGTGTTGGAGAAGAAGAGGTTCGTTCTTCAGTGGTGTGAATGGAGTCAGTGTCATTTACTAACCGTGATTAAGGCCTTTTATTGCATTGAGAGTCCTTGTTTGTGAGTTTCACTGTGGTTCATCCGGTGGTTGTCGTGAGATATTAGCTTATAGCTGCTGTGATTAGCGCTTAGCTGTTAGCACTGTGGTTATGTGTTAGAGCTCGTTGAGATGCAGGGCTGTTAAAGTTTAACGCGCACAGTAAAGTAGTTTTTTATTGGATAATCGACTTTCTCTCCTTAATTTCTCATGAAATAAACATGCAGCAACGATCAGACCTACTAACACCAAGTATGTTCCAGAAATATCCTTCTGTAAATTTCACTGGACAAAAAGACTCCAAACAGCAAAACACAGAGGTGTTACTGTTTAAGGGAGTGTCTAAAAAGTGCACACCTGTACAGCTGTGAAGGTTCAGATTTTAAGTAGAGGCTGTAGTGGTTATCGAGGGTCGTTGTCGGATCACTGAACAGGTGATGTTACTGTGCTGAATGTGATCTGTGGCACATGTTAGTGAACAGTTTGTTATTTGCTGCTGAATTTGCAGCCACAGAGTGTCTCACACATGCATATGTGCCCTCATTTAGACCACTGAGCGCTTGTGAAGAACACTGTTTATTCAGTATGTGGTGTGACGTGTCGTCACGAACATATTTAATATTTAAATATGACTGAATTTATCAGGCTAAACGTCTCACATACGCATCATGGAAATACGTGCCTGTGTTTATTTAAGGAGCCGGAGGGGCTACAGCACAGGAGCAGACTCAGCCTGCCTGACTGTGAGGGATGAAGAGAGGCTGGAAATGTAGAAATGAATTATGAATGTTTTTGGTTCATAAAACAACACAAACATTATTAGTGATACAACAATTGATGTAATATATGAGCTCTTTGATAGATGAGGTCATAGATGGATGAGGTCAGAGATGAATGAGGTCAAAGGTGGTCGAGGTCAGAGGTGGATGAGGTCAGAGATGGATGAGGTCAAAGGTGGTCGAGGTCAGAGATGGACGAGGTCATAGGTGGACGAGGTCAAAGGTGGACGAGGTCAGAGATGAATGAGGTCAAAGGTGGTCGAGGTCAGAGGTGGATGAGGTCAGAGATGGATGAGGTCAAAGGTGGTCAAGGTCAGAGATGGATGAGGTCAGAGATAGACGAGGTCATAGGTGGTTGAGGTCAGAGGTGGACGAAGTCAGAGGTGGACGAGGTCAGAGATAGACGAGGTTATAGGTGGACGAGGTCAGAGGTGGACAAGGTCAGAAATAGACGAGGTCATAGGTGGTTGAGGTCAGAGATGGACGAGGTCAGAGATGGACGAGGTCAGAGGTGGTTGAGATCAGAGGTGGACGAGGTCAGAAGCGAATGAGGTCAGTAACGCTGTGCGTTTGTGTTCCAGATCAGTGGTACGATGTACAACACGGGTCATCACGTCTCCTTACGGCTGGATAAATCCCACCTGGTGAACGTGTCCGGGGGTCCGCTCAGCTACAGCTACAGGCTGGAGGAGATCAGGCTGCACTTCGGCAGCGAGGACGGTCAGGGCTCGGAGCACCTGCTGAACGGACGAGCTTTTCCGGGAGAGGTGAGGAACCAGACCACCGTGGATTAAAGCGATAGTTCGGTGAAAGTCTAACCCCCCCACCATTTTCTGTAAAATGTAGTCTGTCAGCTGAGAAACGTTTCTCTTTAGTTTTAGCACAAGAGCTACGAGGCTAATGCAGCTAACAAGTAATGAAAGCTTATCCCCCACCAATTAGCAAGGCGCTAATCTTGAAAACAGTTTACATTAGCTGGAAATACAGATATTTGACTGGAATAAAACTGTCCCTCAAATTAAAACACAGCTGGACAAAATATTCAGTGAAATTATTCATTCAAAGTGCTTATGAAACCCTGAGGGGGGCGCCGTCTGCTTTAATAGGCTGATGCTACATGAAATGATTCCTTCTATCAATAATATATGTGTTTTTTAATGAATGTGGGCTCAGAAATAAACGTGGTCTGATAAATGTGTGACGCTGCTGGGAGCAGCTCTTAAATTCCACCTTAACTGGAGCAGCAGTCAACAAGGGCCATTTAAGGTGGAATGGCCCCATGACAGTCGGTGGGGTTTAAGCGTTCATTTCCTGTTAGCTACATCAGCCTCGTAGCTCCAGGGCTAAAACTAAAGAACCAAACTTCAGACACTGAGCACGTCATTTGGAGTAAATTGGTGGGGGGGGTGAGTGGGCGGTTGTTTGGGGGGGATCAGTGGGCGGTTGTGTGGGGGGGATCAGTGGGCGGTTGTGGGGGGGTCAGTGGGCGTTGTGGGGGGGGTCAGTGGGCGGTTGTGGGGGGGGATCAGTGGGCGGTTGTGTGGGGGGGTCAGTGGGCGGTTGTGGGGGGGATCAGTGGGCGGTTGTGGGGGGTGGCTGGGGGGAATTAGACTCTCGGCTGAAGTATCGCTTTAAAGCTGTCTCCTCATCTGTGACACTTCAGCTGACTGCAGTCTGCAGTGGGGGATTTGGAAAACACACAGCGAGCACACGCCGCACTCGACGGGCTGCCGCTCTGTTTTTGTTTTTGTTGTTTGTTTATTTGTTGTTCTTTTGGTGGCAGAGTTGAAAGCCTGTCAAGAGTTTCTGTCAAAACTTGATCAAAGTGTTTCACGCAGAGTTTCATCCTGCAGAGAGTTTCCGTTTTTGTGCGGTGAGGAAACGGCTGAACGACGCCGAGCAGAGCAGCGCAGTCAGGATTAAAACGTTAGATCAGGATTAGGGCTTATTCCCAGTTTAAAGAGTGATTACCCTGCAAAAAACCCGCGGAGTCTGGAGAGTCTCCAGCGGCTGAGAGATCGTCACCGCAGCGGTTCTGTCAGAGCCGTCTAGATCCTCAGGGAGAGTCTAATGACTTCAGCTAATTAAACAAACTTTCAGTTTATTTTTATTTAATAGAATCATCATTTAAACTCTGCAAGTATTGCAGTAACGCTCTTATTCCACCTCTCAGCTCTGACTGGAAACAAAAGCTTTAAAATCCTAAAAAAGTCCAGCAGAAAATGAACAATCACACTGTAATCTCACACCTTTCCACTCAAATACAGTCTCTGTACATAAAGGTGAGTATTGCTCACATATAACTCAACCACTTTAGTTAAAGGGACTTTTTTGATAATTTTATGATAATTGGATAGTTATAGTTTTAGCACTGCAGCTACGAGGCTAATGTAGCTAACAAGTAATTAAAGCTTATATCCCACCAATTAGCATGGCGCTAATCTTAGCTGGTAAATACAGATATTTGACTGGAAAAAAACGGTCCCACAAATTAAAACACAGCTGGACGAAATGTTCAGTGAAAATATTCATTTGAAGTGCTTATGTAACCCTGAGGTGGGGGGCGGGGGGAAGGGGGGATGGGGGTCAGGCTGCTTTAGTGGGCTAATGTTACACATCCATGACTTCTTCTATGAGGCCCAGTGTTTCTACATCTTACAAGCTTGACATTGTAACAAAAGCAAAACCAATTTTATTGCTAAATAGAACCATTTTCAAAAAAAAGGTTCCATATAGCACCTTTTACAACACATTCTCCATGAACCTGAAGAACCATTTCACCATTTAAGCATGGAGACAGTTCTTTGAGCATTCATGGTTGTATATAGAACCATTTTCTTTACTAAAGAACCCTTGAAGAACCATGTTTTGAAGACTGTGGTACTCGAGTCTCAGTCTCGAGACCATAAACGAGCGATTTTGACCACAACATTAATAAACAGGTAACAATAAACACTCCAAACTCTCAGAATATCAGCTCTGACATTTATTTGTTTGTTTGTTTGTTTGTTTTACTTACTTCTTTATTTATTGTTTGCACATGTAACAACAACACAGACATTAGTCATCACAAAAGTTCAGATCAAAGCATGTTTCAAATTCTAAATAAAGAACAGTCGAGGGAGAAAAGGGGAGAAATCAAAATGTAAATTAGTCGGTTGAAGAAAACAGTAAACATGAACAATGAAATAAACCCACAGAGAGAAAGTCAGTGAATGAAATGAGATTATGGGATGAAGGTACAACATTATAAATACATTATTGACACAGAAATGACACGATTAGAACTCACAGCTGTCTTATTACAGTGTAATAAAGAGGGATGAAGAGTTCAAATAACACTCCACATCTCTGATAAACGACAAAACAGGGGTCCTGAATCTGGGACTCTCTCTGTCTGTCTCTCTCCCTCTCTGTGTTCTCTCTCTCTCTCTCTTTCTCGTCCACATCAGCCTCCAAACAGCTTCCGTCCGACTCTGACAGCTTGGCTCATTATAAACAATGACTGGAGAGAGATTCTTTAACGAGTCTGAAAGATTTTCAGCTGAAAATAACTGCAGGAGTTTAACTTCACCACCCTGAGGGAGAAAGAGAGAGAGAAAGAAAGAGAAAGAGAGAGAGAAAGAGAGAGAAACAGAGAGAGAGAGAGAGAGAGAGAGAGAGACGGAGAAAGAGAAAGAAATAGAAAGAGAGAGAGAGAGAGAGAGAGAGAGAGGAGAGAGAGAGAGAAAGAGAAAGAAATAGAAAGAGAGAGAGAGAGAGTGAGAGAGAGAGAGAGAGAAACAGAGAGAGAGAGAGAGAGAGAGAAACAGAGAGAGAGAGAGAGAGAGAAACAGAGAGAGAGAGAGAGAGAGATATAGACAGAGAGAGAGGGAGAGACAGATAGAGAGAGACAGAGAAACCCTTTTATTCAGACAATCAAATAAATTTTAAAGCTTTTGTTTCCAGTCAGAGCTGAGAGGTGGAATAAGAGCGTTACTGCAACACTTGCAGAGTTTAAATGATGATTCTATTAAATAAAAATAAACTGAAAGTTTGTTTAATTAGCTGAAGTCATTAGACTCTCTCTGAGAATCTAGACGGCTCTGACGGAACCGCTGCGGTGACGATCTCTCAGCCCCTGGAGACTCTCCAAACATGATGATGTCGTTGCTCAGTCTCACGTGTTTATTAGAGAAAAGTTTAAAAATGTAAAAAACACAGAATAACCAGAACACAATCAGAATGTGACCCACAGACACCCAACTTCGTCATCTGTTCATAGAACACTCACGAATTCTTTCAGTTTCCCACCAAATTATAACATGCATCTCCATTCTCGGCTGAGCTGCCTCACTCACCGCCCCGCCCGGCGGCTGACTCTTCCTCGTTGTCCGGGTGTCTGTCTTTGCCACACCAGATAAAAATTCAGTAACACTGAAACATTTTTCCATCTTGCTGTGAATTTAGGCCCAGACAAACAGCTGAAAGGGGAAAGTCTCACCCAACGACTAAAACCACTCAGATAACGAGGAGAACAGGTCGCCAGGCTGAGCGCACAATCAGGGGAACAGGGGCTCAGTCTCCGAGCAAAAGAGTCACCCCCCCAACACCTGGATCAAGGTGCACTACACACCTCCTCTGGAGCTCAGCGATCCGTTTATCAGTGAGACGCATATACAGGACCGCCAGCAGCCTTCGGGAGGAGAACTCAGACCACCTGGCAGATCAAACGCCGTCCAGAAGGTGCACCTAGGTCACCTACACAAATCAAGCACGGCGTTTTCCTCCCAACCGAGGAGAACACACACTCTGAAAACAGACGGTTCTTCAAGCGTTCTTAAGAAAAGACATTGGGCCTCGTTCACCAACCAACCTTAAGAAGAAATTTCTTATTAAAACCTACTTACGCGGTTCTGATGAAGACTCTGACTCACCAGTGTTCTCTTATGTGGGATTTGTTCTTAGGTAAGAACAGAATCTACACACACTCAAGAACACAAAGGTGAGAACAGTTCTGCGCTTTAAGAACACGTCATGAATCTGACGGAGACTTTTTCTTAGGATCTTTATCAAGAACACACTTAAGAACACACTTAGAAGGATGTTGGAGAACGAGGCCCAGTAGTTCTACACAGCCCCAACAAGGTTCTCTTATTGTTACAAGCTTGACATTGTAACGATAGCAGATGAAAGTACAGTGTCCTTTTTGGTGCTTTATAGAACCATTTTCAAAAAGGTTCTATATAGCACCACATACAACACACTCTCCATCAGTCTGAAGAACAATTTCACCATTTAAGTGTGCAAATAGTTCTTTGAGTGTCCATAGTTCTATACAGAACCATTGTCTTTACTAAAGAACCCTTGAAGCACCATCTGTTTGAGAGCGTAGAACTGGAGTGGTGAAAGAGAAGACGCCTCTCATCCTCAGTCCACTCCACAGCAGGACTAACGGTCAGTTCAGGAAGATCATACTGACCTTCTCTCCACTGGGCAGAGACAGATGGATCATTCAGGAAGCTCTGGTGTCTGTACCTCTGACATCACCTGACCCAGCAGACGTTCCTGACCTGACCCCGGTTCTTTCACTCACAGCTGCTGTTCCAGAACTCAGGAAGTGGCCCAGCTTCGTATTTCCTGTAGCCACCAAACCTGAGAAGATAAAAGAGCTGATGGTAAAAAGATCTAAAAAACAACAGCTCCTTCAACAACCAAGCTCCAGCAGGAGCATCAGCAGCCGCTGAGATGGAGAACATTCCATGCTTCCAGCACTGAACTGTGAAAAGGCCTGAGATCCATCAGTGCAGCCTCTGCTGTGGTCAGTACGAACAGGTGTTTATCAAACCCCATAAAATGACAATGGATGTGTTTCCAAGCAAGTGTTCTGTGGAGCAGCAGCCTTTGGGCAGCCTGAAGATGAAAGCCATGATACAGGACTTATGTAGTGCTACATCAGGAGAAAGAAGGATGGTGGAGGTGGAGGTCGCTGGTTGCAGCAGTTATTTTATCAAAAACCACGAAACCAAATACTCTGGACAGACTCAGCTCGGCCACTGGGATCAAACGGCAGACATAGTACAGTGATCTTGCTGTGGAATGGGAGGAGGTGGGCCTAAGGGCCCAAGTACCACCCTCACGACGCTTCTCACGGCTGTCGATCTCCTCCCTCCACTTCTAGTCCTTCTCCCTCTGCCTCTCGCACGGCCATCGTCCTCCTCCTCATATTTTCCCTCTGCCTCTCGCAGTGGTCATCCTCCTCCCCTTCGCCTCTCGTGGCTGTTGTTCTCCTCCCTCTGCCTCTCGTCCTTCTCCATCCGCACCTCACAGTTGTTGTCCTTCTTCCTCCACCTCTTGTAGCTGTCGTCCTCTTCCCTCCGCCTATCGTGGCTGTTGTCTTCCTTCTTTCACCTCTCGTCCTCCCTCCTCTGCCTCTCATGGCTGGCATTCTTTTCCTGCCGACTCTCGCAGCCCACATCACATCGGCACGCAGGGATTAAGCACCACCTTCCTGTTGCGTCTCATGGCTGTTATCAGTGCCTGGGGGTTGGGCACCTGGCACAGCTTAACGTCTACCAGACCTTCCCCTCCTTCCATACTGGCAGGTGTAGGATGGCCGATCAAAGTTGGCCTGACCAGAAAAAGTTCACCAGCATCCTTTGCACCTCCTGTGCTAGTCCTGCAGGTGGCTGTAAAGCATTGAATCTAGCCACGGGGTGGAGGCAACTAAATTACAAGCCACCAACACCTTCCTCCTGTAGGGCAACTGGGGTAGCAACCACTTCCATCGAGACAATGTGGTGTGTACTTTCTCCGCTACACCCTCCCAGTACTGCTTCTGAAAGTCATCCGTCCCCCACCTGACCCTGGTCTGCCCTTAGAGCCTCTGATATCCCAGCTGCCTTTGGCAGGAGAAGCCTTTTCATACAAATTAAGGGCCTCAGATATAAACTGAACTTCCTGACTGTTATTAATAAGAACTGTTACATCATCAGTATAAACAGACGGTGTTCCTGGACTCCTAATGTCAGCTGGTCTCTTCCAAACAAATAAGTAGCACTTTGTTAGCCAGACTACAGAACTATTTAGCCACTTTAACTTGTTTTAACATGTTTTTTAGCCAAAGTGTTTTATTAATTTAGAAGGTCAGGACCCACATTCTCCAGGAGCAGCGCAACTGACCTGACAAACTTCTCTCTATCAGGACAAAAATCCTTCACACTGACCTGTTTTCCGTACATCTCATCCAGAAAACCACTTCACTCCTCCTGAGTGTGAACTGGCTGATCTACTTGTGGAGCTCCCTGAGATCTGACTTCAAAACCATCACAGGGCTCCCCCTGAGGAGCTCCGAGATCAGCTGGGTTCTCCTGCGAACAGCACCACCCTCATCTGAAAAAGACTCGTCCAGGCTAGATTCATCTTTCAGACCATGAGAACTCGCCCTGCTTTCCTCACGTTCATAACACTCGTCTCCACGTTGCTCTTCGACTGCGCAGCGCCCGGACTGGACGCTACACTGGCTACACTCTCATTCTCTCATAGTCAGAAATATGTTTTCCAGCTGCACTGACTTGTATATTATCATCTATAAGACAGACAGACAGATCAGCTGATACACACACATCAGATCATATATGAACACTGAACACTGATACTGTTTGATACGTCAAACAGTGACAGATTTATTTTAGTAAAGTAAATAAAAACATCAGTAAAATATGAACATTGTTTCTGAATAACTACAGCTTTACCAGCTGATAATGTCAGTTTCATTAATAAACGTATTTAAAACCAAAATACTGACATCTGAAAGATCCTAATAACATTCACTCTTCAGTAAAGCTGAACATAGTTCGGACCCGGTTGAGGGTCAGTCTGTCACAGGTAATGTTTCGAAGCGAAATGAGGCAGAGTGGAGCGGAGAGTGCCTCGCTGGTCTGGACAGGTGTACGTCCAGCTCACATCAGAGGGGAGAGAGCCCTGAACGTCTCCCAGATAGTGGCTCGGTGACCTCTTATATACAGGACAACGCCCCCATGTGGCCAATCAAGTACCCTGCACATAAAAGAACAACAGAAGAGACATAAAATGGCCACTGACAGACTGAGAGAAAGGCCATAACAGTAACAGTATGGTGAGATATATCGTGTGCTGTGAAAGTGGGATGTTCTGTTGTTGCTGTATTAATGTAGGTGTTAATCTGTTAATCTGCTTTTCCTTTTTCAGGTGCAGTTAATCCACTATAATCAGGATCTGTATTTAAACTACAGCGACGCTGCCAGAAGTCCAAACGGCATCGCCGTCATCTCCATATTCATGAAGGTGACAGTTTGTCTTGTGTTTTTACCCTGATTGAAGAGGTTTAGTCACATGACATGGAAATAAAGTCAGAACAGGAAAGAAAAGCTGGATACAGGATCATAATCACGACAGAATCTGAGAGACACATTCCAGAATTCATGAACTGTTCAAACTGCAGCTCCACAGTGACCAAACTATTTAAATTAATAATGAAGTATTCAGATCTTAAATATTTACATTTGAGCGTTATTTTCTGATCTATTTAAACCCAAGATGTTTATAGAGATAGTAATAAGTCAAGTATATACACAATCAATATTTATAGGGGTCTTTCTATCAGGAGGAGTCCGTCCCAAACCCTGACCACTAAATTTACCCTTCTGAAAATAATACTTACATTTTTTGTAGATTTTATTGTTGTTTCTTTATAAATCATGTTGATTTATTTTAATTTGAATTTTAATGTCACTACTGAAATACAGTTTTATTCTGTGGGCGGGGCCTTATTTAGCCCCTCCCCTGCATTTTAGAGCAGGAAGTGAGGCTGCTTCCCTGCCCCTCATGGCCGCATGGTGAGCAGTTAGATCCCATTGTTTTGAAGTAAATGTGTCCCAACGTCTGAAAATCAGTGTGGAACATTAAGAATCGCCATATTTTCTGCAGTTCAGCACTTTTTAGTGTTTTAATGTAAAATATGATGATTTTCTGTGTGAACAGCTGTTCAAAGCTGTGTTTGCTGGTCTGTACTGGCTGAGATTCTGAGCTTAGAATGAGCTAAAATTGTCACTGAAACAGTCACTACTGAAACAGTCACTACTGAAACAGACACTACTGAAACAGTCACTACTGAAACAGACACTACTGAAACAGTACACTACTGACACATATGGTACAGTTTGGTAGAGTTATGATTGATTTGGGATGTTCAGTCATTAGTTTTAATAAAATAATCATAATTAAGGTTTAGAGTCACTCAGAGCAAAAGGGTTTTAGTCTAAAGTTCAAGACCAGTTTACAGTCTGTGTTTAAAATCTGTTCCCGTTTCAGCCAAATGATCCTCATAATCACAGACAGTCTAATCTGAATCTAATCTAAAGGACCCCCATCAGCAGAGACCACTAAGAGTCCCGAATACACTTAGAAAGTGACAGAGGATCAATACTGATCAGTTACAGCCCCTGTTATCAGCTCTGAGACGGATCTTTCGCTCTCACAGCTGAACACTGAGTGTTAGATTAACTAACAGAGACTCTAACGAGCTCATTTAAACATCACTGTAATGAGGGTGATGTAACAATTACAGTGACAGCCTTCAGTGGAGAGTCATAATGAGATGATTCCTTTGTTTAATGAGAGTATTTTAAACTCTGTTAGTGAAGATCCAGCAGTTTATTTACAGATTAATCTGACAGAATAGACGCCTCCTGCTCTTTAAATGAGACCGATTACGCCTCCTTTAGTGTTCTGTTGTTTTTTCAGCATGTAAACGTTCTGCAAAGTCCCAGAGCTCAGCGTTCCCTCCAGAGGGAGAAACTCTCTCCCACAGAACCCACTTTTCTCAACTTCCTGAAACACCTTGCTGGAATTCCAGCCCTTGTCCTTCGTTACAGGATGACATCATCTCGTAACACAGTCCTTACTGCCCGCCTACCGGTGAGCTTGGCCCCCTCACACAGCGCACAGCGGCTACTGCAGGAGGAAGAGTGTGTTCAGTGCTGTATCCGTGTGGAGAGACGCTGACCGGACTTTCAGGATCCACTCTGGATCAAACTGATACAGCAGAACCGACACTGCTGGAGAAACAGCCACAGCGGAGTTACAGCTGCTCAAGAGAGAAGGGTCTGTCTGAAGACTGCAGGACAGGGGTGGAACCTGGAGGGTGGAACCGCTCTGGAGACTGCCTGATCAGAACAGGGTGGGCGAGCTGACCAATCAGAGCACACTGGGCACATCAGGAGGCGATAATGTGTTTTTGGAACATTGAAGCTATAAATTTTTTCTCGTAGAACGCAAAGATAAAATTATGGTCGCTGAAAATAAGCATAATAGCTCCCCCTTAATACAGCTTCATTATGGAGGAGGGAAGCTGGACACTGATGGACTAAACAGACTCTCAGACGGAACTACTGATACTAAAATTATGACTGCAGCACAAGTAGCTTCACCAAAAAAACACTTGAGTAGAAGTACAAAAGTACCAGCTCAGAGCTACTGCAGTACTGAGTAACGTCTAGAACCTGTCAGCAGATGCAGTTTAATCCAGTTCACTTCAATTCAGATAAGTTCTGCTTGGTTTAATTCATTTCAGTTCAATTCAGTTTAGTTTATTCAGTTCAATCAAATTCAGCTTTGTTCACTTTAGTTCAATTCAGTTTAGTTTTGTCCACTTCAGTTCAATCCAGTTAAATTCCGTTCAGTTTAGTTTAATTCAGTTCAGTCCACTTTGGTTCAGCTTAACTCGGTTTAGTTTGGTTTAGTTGAGTTTAGTTCCGTTTGATTCAGTTTAGTTTAATTCAGTTCAGACTGTACGGAGCTGCAGTGAGTCTAACTGTTTCATTTCTGTTTTATTTCCAGATTTCAGAGCCCACAAACTCGTTTCTAATCCGAATGCTGAGCAGAGAAACCATCACCAGAATAACATACAAAAGTAAGAATTATATTTAATTCCCTCTTTAATTCACACTGATACAGATTACATACAGATTACATACAGATTACATACTGAATACATACAGATTACATACAGATTACATACTGATTACATACTGAATACATACAGATTACAGACTGATTACATACTGATTACATACAGATTACAGACTAATTACATACTGATTACATAGAGATTACATACTGATTACATACTGATTACATACAGATTACATACGGATTACATACTGATTACATACAGATTACATACAGATTACATACTGAATACATACAGATTACAACCAAAGTCTACTGTGAACTGCATTACTTAGCAAAATACAGTTCCTGTTCTACAGTTTCTCATTAGGCTGAATGAATAACCGACTCTAAATGTAGGTGTTGTGATATAAACTGAGTCTGATCTACAGTTTCTCATTAGGCTGAAAAAGTACACACTGGCGCCCCCTGCTGGCTCGGGTGCTCCTTCACTGTGTGCTGCTCTGTTTCTCCCTCATGTCTTTCTTCATGGAAATGTCCTCCAGATGATGCGTACCTGCTGACGGGTCTGAGTTTAGAGGAGCTGTTTCCAGAAACGTCCCGGTTTATAACGTATGACGGCTCGATGACCATCCCTCCGTGCCTTGAGACCGCCACCTGGATCCTGATGAACAAACCCATTTACATCTCACAGATAGAGGTGACCACGCCTCACTGTCCTAATGAGACACTAACGAGCAAATTCAACACCAGTTTATACCTCTGTCTTCATTTTAGCCATAAAACTTTCTCTACTCTGTTTATTAGATTAGACTAGATTAGATTAGACTAGATTAGATTAGATTCTTCATTGTCCTTAAGAGATGAAATTTGTTTTCACAGCAGGTTAATGTTAATTTATGTATATCATGTTTATCATGTTCTAACAGTGAGTGTGAGAGTGATTAATGATACTCGCTGCTGTTTATACTTTAATAATAACTTATTATAATAATTAAAATTCTGATTAATTATAAGTCTGTGCAGTTCTTCTATGCTAGTGTGCTACTGCTATAATGGTGCACTGGTGTTGTCCATTTTCTTCTGTACTACTGCGTGTGTGCTATGCTAAAATGCTAATGCCGTCCAGTATTTCTATACTAGTCCTGTGCTAGCATGCTAATGCTCTGTATTTTTTCTAAGTGTGCTAGTCTGACGCCACTGCAGTCACTATTATGCCAGTGTGCTAGTGCTATGTTAGCATGCTAGTGCAGTCCAGTTTGTTCTATGCTAATGTGCTAAGCTAGCGTGTTTATTAATTGCTCTGTGTGCTGTAGATGCAGTCTCTGCGTTTGCTGAGTCAGAATCAGCCAACGGAGATCTTTCTCAGTATGAGTGACAACACCCGGCCGGCTCAGCAGCTCCATCAGCGCTGCATCCGCACCAACATCAACTACAACCAGCAGGGGCGCCACTGTCCCAATAACCGGCTGCTCCGCCCACAGTACAGGGGTACTACACTCACTCACAGCTAAACTGCTGTAGGCTGAATGGGTGGGGCTAAACTGTTGTAGGCTGAATGGGAGGGGCTAAACTGCTGTAGGCTGAATGGGTGGGGCCAAACTGCTGTAGGCTGAATGGGTGGGGCTAAACTGTTGTAGGCTGAATGGGTGGGGCTAAACTGCTGTAGGCTGAATGGGTGGGGCTAAACTGCTGTAGGCTGAATGGGTGGGGCTAAACTGCTGTAGCTGAATGGGTGGGGCTAAACTGTTGTAGGCTGAATGGGTGGGGCTAAACTGCTGTAGGCTGAGTGGGTGGGGCTAAACTGCTGTAGGCTGAATGGGTGGGGCTAAACTGCTGTAGGCTGAATGGTGGGGCTAAACTGCTGTAGGCTGAATGGGTGGGGCTAAACTGCTGTAGGCTGAATGGGCGGGGCTAAACTGCCTCTGTAACTCTGTATTCTCTGTATTCTCTGTTTTACAGTGAACGAGTGGCTCCTGAAGTAGTGGTTCTGTAACGGATCTGCGGTTCAGTCCTGCAATAAGAACACTAACGAGGAGGAAATCAGTCCCTACTTTTATACCTCTTTATATGTTTATAACACTCTGAGGAGGACGAGTCAGACATCCTGCACGTCGCTCTCTAACGGACAGACGGGCTGCCAGATCTGAACTCATCAATAATGGTCTCAGAGGATCAATTCTGTGTACTTTATCTACACGCAGTGGGAATAAACTGATCTCTGGTATGGGGGGACGTGGGGGGCTCCTGACTCTGTGGTGGACGTTCTGAGCATGTTGCCTTCTTTCATTGTTTACAGTGTTAAATGATTGAGTGATATCTGTCCAATAAACCTTAGAGGTCATTAATGGTGCTTTAATACTGAGTGACCAGGTGGGGGGCGCTAAAAACAACATGAAGTGTCTCTTTCCCAGAATGATGGCAACGCCAGCGTACATGTGTTTATATATATACACAAGATGTCTCTCATGTTCCACGGCATACAGTGACCAACTACATACACGTATATATGCATATATGTGTATATATATATATATATATATATATATATATATATATATATATACACACACACACACACACCTTGTGCTTCCACTAACTGGTCACTTTATTAGAAACACCCACCTTGTGCTTCCACTAACTGGCCACTTTATTAGAAACACCCATCATGTGCGTCCACCAACTGGCCACTTTATTAGAAACACCCATCATGTGCGTCCACTACCTGGCTACTTTATCAGAAACCCCTCTCCTGGAGCTCCGCTGTGCTGGTGTTTGGTGAGAGACAGTAGATCTTCTGTTGATGATCAGTTTAATCCATCAGTGCTCAGTTTCTGAACACAGAGCTGCTCTTATCTGGATATTTTTGTGTGTGAATTTAAAAATGAATAATAATAATAGCTATTAAAATTACAAAAGCTTTGAAATAATTGTACTGATATACACCCATTTATGAAATACATTACGTTAACGTTTTAACATGAATGTCATCATTATAGCGCTACAATTAGTCTGTGGAGTTAAACACAGTGTGAACTCTACTGTTAAACTGCTGCTCCCTTTATAATGCAGTACCATGATATCACCACAAGATGTCTCTCATGTTCCACGGCATACAGTGACCAACTACATACACGTATATATGCATATGTGTGTGTGTATATATATATATATATACATACATACATACATCATCTAAACCTCTTATCCTTCTGGGTCGCGGTGGGGTGCTGGAGCCTATCCCAGCTGTCATTGGGCGGAAGGCAGGATACACCCTGGACAGGTCGCCAGTCCATCGCAGGGCAGACAGACAGACATACACAGTCACACACACACTCACACCTAGGGGCAATTTAGCACATCCAATTGGCCTGAATGCATGTTTTAGGACTGTGGGAGGAAACCGGAGTACCCGGAGGAAACCCACGCAGACACGGGGAGAACATGCAAACTCCACACAGAAATGACCCCGGTTGCCCAGCCGGGAATCGAACCCAGGCCATTCTTGCTCTACCCACTGCGCCTATATATATATATATATATATATATATATATATATATATGCTTAATCCTTATGAATATTTAAGTTCTGAATTATTTAATTAGTTACTTAATTACTTTTTCACACTGTGAGATTCAGCAAAGCTGCTCATTCAGTCTGTGGTTCTGAACGTAGCACTGCAGCACCCAAGCAGCAGGGGCAGCACAGAGACGCTGCAGACTCCTGCAGTGCTCAGCTCGGCCAGCAGGGGCAGCACTAAGAATCTGCAGACTGCTGCAGTGCTCAGCTCGGCCAGCAGGGGCAGCACTGGGACTCTGCAGCCTCCGGCGGAGGGAACAAAGGAGTGCGGGGTGAGTGTTTACAGCGCCCAATATTTCTGCGATAAAGTCGTTGAAACGCGATTAAACCTCGGATTAAATCTCAGGCGGCGCGTTAAGATCATCAGCTGGCGATCTCGAGCGCCTGCGGTCGGTAATGACTCTGTATTTGCGCGGTTTTAGCCGCTCCGCGTTCGGCTGTGTTCGCGGAGCTTCATCGCGTTCGGCTGATCTCTGTTTGGGTTCGCTCATCTATTTTAGCGTCTCTGCCGGTTTTTTCGCTCCGTCTGTTTAATCCGGTCAGGCGAGATTATCACGATAATTTACCCGCGATAATCACTAATAATTCTGCCGAATGAGCGATGTTCGGTTGTAATCCGGGCTCACAGTCAGCCTGGCCGGCGGAGAGTCTGAGCTTCAGCCGCTGCTGAGTCTGATTCTGGTTCCAGATTAGAGCGAAAATCGATCAGTTATTGAAGATTATCATTATAACGTTCAGTGACCGGCTGGTTCCGATTCTGACTGTAGTTATTAGAGAAACCCGCGCCGTAACAGCAGCCGCGGGCTAACAGCGCTAACACGGCTAACGGCGCTAACACTGCTAACACGGCTAGCAGAGACCGGCCCGGCTACAGCTAACATGGCTAACACTGCTAACCTTTCGCTTATGAGGCCGAAGTCGGCTTTTTATCCGCCCGCTTCGTTTTTTTCGAATTTTCCGTTCTAGCTTAAATGGCGCAGCCGTTATTATTAGTGTCCGACGTACCAGCATGTAGCTGCCGCAGCATTTAAGGTGGAACGGGACAATTCGGAAAGACTTTTTCGCTAACGTTAGTTAGCCCCAGCTAACGCAGACGAACCCAGTCTGTCTGTGTTGAACTCCTGACTCGATTTTCCCCGTTCCACCTTAAACGGACCATCCTGCTAGCTAACGGTGCCAACACACGCTAGCCTTTCACGAGCTAACAGGGCTAACTCGGGCTAACACAGACTAATCTAGCGCTAGATAAGCGGTTTAACTCGGGCTGACTCGAGTAAATGCAGTGTTGGTTCACAGCTTCAACCAAAGTCCTCAGAGTACAGTTATCATAATATCTCGGGATGTTAATTCGGGATAACAAACTAATCAGGCGCTGGCTAACGATGCTAAATGAGGCTAACAGCTGTGTGCAGTCTAATCGCCTTTAACAGATTCTTCTCATCTATAAATGCTGCCTGAATACTTTAATAATAACGATAATGTGAATATCCTTGTTTATTTAGTTTATCCGAGATGACTAGTTTGTGTGTCCGCGCAGTAGCTCGGTGCTGCTGTTGGATGGTTGTTTGATTTAATTGATTTTTGACTATGATATTCAGTGTTATTCCTGCAGAGCCTCTAAGGTGACTTGGTGATTATTTTTTGAAGATGTGGCCACTAATTACTATATTTAGGCCACCAGTTGTGATAAGCTTAATGCAATATAATAATTGGTGGCCACGCTTTATTGAAAATAATCGCCATGTCGCCTCAGGAGCTCCGTGTGTTCCTGTTGACGTGCCTGTTTTGTTTCCCCCTTTATGATGAGCAGGCCGAGCGGGGCATGTGTGTGCACTGTCAGTGAAAGCATGCCTATTCGTCTAATCAATCTTTACCCTATTGCAGAACCAAATGATGGGGTTAGCCTGATATCCTCAATCCTACAAACAAGATGTCAAGTAAGAACACATTTCAACTAATTGTGATTTGACCGCTTGAGTCTGTAGCCCCCCCGAGGACCCCCACCCTGTGCTTTAACTGTAAATGGGCTGAAGGTGCCTGTAGGTGACTGTATGTGAACCCTGTATCTCTTCTCTCCCTCCCTGTTGGACCGAATGGGTGACGCTCACATGTTTTGACTGTATCTGTCGTTTTTGGTGGGGCGATAATGTGTTTAGCGTGTGTCACTCAGTTTGAACCCGAAGCCGATGTGACGAATAAGTAGGCTTTAGCGCTGCCGAGCGGCCGCGGAGCAGACCGGCCGGGAGTCGCTCGCTAATCTCTGCCTTTTTCGTTTCTGTTTTCCTCGCAGAGCGGCCCTCGTACGCGCCTCCCCCTGCCCCGGCCCCCACCACAGTAAGTATTCCACCACACGCCGCTCATCCATAAATGCCCCCTTACCCCTACCCCCCTCCCCTCCCCTCTCCCTCCATCACCCCGAAACCTAAGGACACCCAGGCGGTGCGGAGAGGACTGCGGGAGCGACGTTTACGTGGGGTGGCTGGAACCTTCCCTACAGCAAATTTGACATGTTTAATAAAAACATTGAGGCCTTTTTTATTGTTTTGGTTTAAAATCTTCTCGTTGGTTTTGCCCAGGCCTGAGCAAACCCCCCTCCCCCTCCCCACCCTCCCTACAACCCCCCCCACCCACATAGTGTCTGTGGCTTCGCTACAAACGGATGTAGGACTTTGCCAGTTTGTGCTGCTTATCAAAGATTGCTGCTTTTTGCATGTCTTATGCAAACCATGAACCCGAGAAAGAAAAGCCAAACAAAAAAAAAGCAATATTCTTCCTTTTTTTCATTTCTTTTGGTCCCTTCCTCCCTCGTTTGTGTCATTTCTCATTCGTGTTTTGTCTCATTTGTCTCCATCAGCAAATGCCCACCACCCCTGGGTTTGTGGGGTACAACCCATACAGCCATCTGGCCTACAACAACTACAGGCTGGGAGGGAACCCCGGCGGGAACAACAGGGTAATGGTAGGACCGAAAAATAAAAAACTAGCCGCAGCAGAGGAGCTAGAACCCCAGAGCAGGTCATGCAACCAAGCCAGCCAAGCCAGCCTCTCTCAGGCTGTTTATAACCACCAAAACATGCTGTTTTCTTCCTTCCATAGTCTGGAGGTCTTCTAGTCTCTGAGTGGGGGTAGATGGTAGATGGTGATGTCATGGGCAGCTCTAGTTGCCTCCATAATCCTCTCATTGCTTCTCTAAACCTCTCACTCTCTCCCCAGCACGCTTTTACCTCTGAGTTTACTGAGTGACTGGTTTCCAGAAGTGCCCCCCCCCTCCACACACCCCCCCCCCAACAACACCCCCTCGGCCTTCATATCACCTCATTATTTTTTGCACGTGGCCGTTCGGCTTGGCGGCCAGCAGGGCGGCGCCGGCGGCTGCCAGTCAGACTGTTTAGCTTTTTGGCTGGTCACTTCTTACTCTGCAGCTTAGAGCACCACAAACCGCCGTCAGAGGCAGCCGGTTTGTCTTTGAGACCCTCTGCATGGATGTTCTGCTAGTAAACAGAAGATTCGTCTGTCTTTAATTTAGTTTTTTGTCCTTTTGCCTCAGCAGGTCACACCGTCCTCATTTTCAGTTCTACCCTCCTTACTCATAGTGCTCCATTGCTGTGGCAGTTTGTGTGTGTGTGTGTGTGTGTGTGTGTGTGTGTGTGTGTGTGGCGTCCGCCGACCTGCGTCCCCCCGCCGCTAACCTCTGCCCGCCCTTCTGTCCTGCAGAACTCCTCAGGGATCACCGTCCCCAAGCCGCCGAAACCGCCCGACAAGCCGCTGATGCCCTACATGCGGTATAGCCGGAAGGTAAGCAGGAAGGTAAGACACCCACGGTGTCTGCTTTTACTGCTTTTTCCTGACGGAGCGCCCTCTGCTGGACATGGGCAGAAGCTGCCTGGGACCTACGGCAATAGGTGGTTCCCTGGAAGACCACCGACTGGAAACGACCACTTGATCTTTGGGTTTTGGGGGGCTGAGATTAAAGTGGGGCAAAAGAAACCAACTTGGCTGTCGTTCCACTTACATACACACTTAGGAGCGATGGTTCTTTAGTAAAGAAAATGGTTCTATATAGCACCGGAAATGGTCTTTATTGCTTGTAACAGTAGTAGAACTTTTTGGTGCTACGTAGAACCATTTTTTAGAAGATTTTCTATAGAATCACATACATCTCACTGTTCATCGATCTTAAGAACCCTTTCTCGATGCAGAGATCCCTTTAATCATGCAAGTGGTTCTTGGAGTGTTTGTAATTCTATATAGAACCATTTTCTCTAATAAAGAACCATCGTTTTAAGTGTGTATGAGTGTGTAAAGGGAGCCGAATGTGGTTTGTGCGTAAATAACAATCACACAGGTAAATTTTAATGCGCTGTAAAGGATTTTGAGGTTTCCTCGTAGTGTGAAGTTGTGTGTCGACGTCATGCCCATATCAGGAGCTCCGGTTCTAAGCCTTCGGTCCTTTTATTTGTTTTCAGAAAGTCCTTGAAGTAAACGTGATGTTGAATAGCTGTCAGTTTGATTCTTCTCGTTAGGAGCTTCATCGGCCCTCGTCTCGCTAGTCCTCCAACAGTGGGGGGCCTAATTTTATTCACAGAGGGCAGAGCAGGAGCTGTGATCAGCTCTTTGAGGACTGAGGCTCAGATGAGCTCCTGATTGTGTGGAATGAAAACTTGGAGCCACAAAGATGCGAAGATGAGAGGCGAAACCATAGTAACACACTTTGATGATGCTGCAGTAAAGAGTCTCTTCCTGCATGATAAACTATGATGAAGGTCAAGTTTGATAGATTTAAGAGTCCCGATTAATTAATTTCCCATGAATTAATTTCAGAATTTCTCTTTTGGTTTATAAATGAGCTTCAGTATAGCTGCAGGACCTTTACCTCCTCAGACTCTGCTAACTAATCGATCTGCTGGTGGTTCCACGTTCTAAGTTCTGCTCCGTGGGGGAGCGTGGTTTTAGTGTGTTGGGTCCACGATTATGGAAGGAGCTCCCTGAGTCTCTGTGAAATTCAGGATCTTTATCTCTTCTTAAAAACAGAAAACAAAAAATCTAAAGACTTTTCTTTATAGATCTGTTTATGAATTAGTTTTGCTTTGTTCTAGAAACTCTGGATCTTCTAAGAAGAATATTAAGACTTTTCTCATGTTTTATGGATTTTGTTTTGTTCTAAATAGTTCTGGATCTTTTTAGGTAGAATCTTAGGACTCTTCTTCTTAGACCTGTTTTTTTTAGTTTAATCGTTCTGTAAACCACCTTAACATCATGGCAAGTGTGCTATATAAATGAAATGTATTATGATTGAGTTCCGATTGATATGATGATCAGTACTGTGTATAAAAGAGGCCCAAATCTGAATGTGTTTCTGTTCACACTGTCACATAAACCAGTTTGCCCTGCAGTGTGAACGCAGCCGTAGATCCGGAGCTCCTGATATGTGTGTCAAAAGATGCACAACTGAGGCTAATTTGCAATGCATTAAAGTAAACAAAGGTGAGTTTATTGATTTCTGACAGACCGTCTGTGACTCTGACTCCTGAAATAATCTGGTTTATCAGAGCAGCCGTGTCCTGTTCTGTCTGATGTCTGTGTTAGAGTGAAATCTCCTGCAGTCTGTTTACGTCACTCCTGCAGTAACCAGCCTGTTTGTGATGCCCTCTTTACGATGTTCTGTGCTGTTCCTTCTCTCTGGCTGTAGAACTTCCCCTGTTCTGGATGTTGGGTCTCTGACTGTTTCTCTTCTTCAGGTTTGGGACCAAGTGAAAGCCTCTAATCCGGACCTGAAGCTATGGGAGATCGGGAAGATCATCGGGGGAATGTGGAGGGACCTCACTGACGAGGAGAAGCAGGATTATTTAAACGAGTATGAAGCTGAGAAGGTCAGTGAGCGGACGGGCACACGTCGGTTTTGGAGTGTTAAAATTATAATCGATTGATTAAAATGGGTCAGATTTAATATAATCAATGTCATTTGGATGGAAAAAACGTCAGGATAGGGCTGCACGATAAATCGTATCATCATTGCGGTATGAGTTTAACTCAGCTTTAATGCGGTAATGTTGTGTTAAACTAAATACAACCCGACATCTCTGATGCCAGATTTAATAACTAACGAGAAGATAAAACGAAACAATGTGTATTTGTTCTTGTGTGTGTGTGTGGGGGTGTGTGTGGGTGTGTGTGTGGGGGTGTGTGTGTGTATATAAAAGTAAATGTGTGTGTGTGTGTGTGTGTGTGTGTGTGTGGGGGTGTGTGTGTGTGGTTTGGTATCCTTTATATAAATAGCTGTTGAGGTGATGCTGCTTCTCAGCTGTTCAGTGCACAGTGATGTAAGTAGTTGTTAGTATTTCGTTTCGTTTTACTTGCAGAACAGTAAACGCTGTTTTTGTAATTTTGTATTTTGTGGTTTGTTTAAAGAGAGGTTACTTAGATTTCTGGTTACACAACACGAAACGGTGTCTGCATTTGAGTTACATCCGGCCAGAGACTCGTTATTTAATAGTAATTTATCGCTTCTCATATCGTCATCGTGATGTCAGACAGCTTTACTGAACATCACGTCTTATTTGAGTATCATGCAGCCCTACATCCAGAGTTAAAGCGAGAGCTTTTATTTTCTGGCAGATCTTTTGAATCTCATTACATTCAAGTTGGGAGTGACAGTGAAGTGTTGGTGACTGTTCAGCTGATCTTACGTTGAAGTATCGCACTGTGGCCCCTCATTCGTTTACAAAATTTGTCATTCTGATTGATTTCAAGGGATCACTTTATTAGTGTCTTCCTGCATCGTCCCTCAGAGCTCACACTGTTTTTTATTTGAAAGTACACTGATGGAGGAACCTGCACAGACAGATTAACCATGAATTCAACCTCCTCTTTAATATTCAATAAAAGTGAGCTTTTATTTTGGCCAAAACAGAAATTTTGCACTTTTTTTAAATTAAAAAGTAAAAAATTGTTTACTGTATGTGACTGCTGCCCTCCAGTTACATTTGTGTGCTCTGCATATATTTAATGATTCTGAATCAGACTAAAAGAATCGAATTGTGAGTCACTGAATCGTTTCCTGAAGACTCGTGACAGAGCTGAATCGTGAGGTCGCCCCTCTTGGTCAGTGATGTGATGTTTATCGCTGACTGTCCTGTTTGTTCCGTGTCTCTGCAGATCGAGTATAATGACTCTCTGAAGGCGTATCACAACTCCCCGGCCTATCTAGCGTACGTTAACGCGAAGAACCGTGCTGAAGCTGCTTTAGAGGAGGAGAGCAGGCAGAGGCAGTCTCGGCTGGATAAAGGAGAACCTTACATGAGCATCCAGCCTGCTGAGGACCCTGACGGTGAGAACATCAGCGAACTGACGAGCAGCTCAGAGACAAGATCGTTTAGTTCATTGAATCACAGACCGTGCCGGTACTTAAACATCATTAAAGTTTGATTCACTTCAGAGTCCATGTTTGGAGACTAAAACTGCGAAAACAGTTGGATTCAAGTTTTTTTGTTTGTGATGCCAAAAAAATCAAAACATTCACAATCAAACCACAGTTTAGCCCAGACTGCTTTTTGCGTGAGGCTCAGCCAATAAGAACAGGGCTGATTTAATGATATTAGACCATTTAATGTTTTTGAAATTTACAGTGTTCGTTACACTTAAAAGCAGAAACTGTAAGAAAACCGTAATAAAAATCACCATCCACATCAATAGTCATTTAAAATTAACAATAGAAGTGCTGAACATCTTTAAACACTTTACAACTAATTTTTCATTCACTTCACTGTTTCCTAACGCCTCGTCTGAACACTCACATGCTGTCAACCGCTTTAAAGCTTCCTGGTAAGTGGTTCCACAAAGTCGCCGCTTACAGATAATAACAGTGATCTTCTGCTTTATTATCCATGATGGGGCTAAAATTGCAACCTGAAATTAATTCAGTCTGCTAAAACTGTTGCGTCAGGTTAAGAGAGTCTTGTGTGACGATGGCAGTGTTTTAATGCTGCTGCTGGTTGATCAGAAGTGGGAGGTGGTGAAGAGATGAAGCTCAGACTCAGGTGGAGTCAGTCAGACCTCCTCACTAGAGCTGAATGATTACACAAACGTCTGATTGTGTTTTTTCTGATCAGAATTGTAATTTAAACGTGAATGTTTTCTATAAAATGAGCTCCAGGCCTGTTGTTGTTTTGCCAGTTCTGTGTTATTAGGTTCATTTGCAGCTGTTGCGATATGAAAATTGCATAATTTCCAGTGAAACAGGGCTAATTATTAATTGTTCAGAGTTTAAGTACTGATGATTTCTGATATGTTAGGAAAAGTATAGCATATTAAAGTTTATGAGACGGTGTGTATCTCTGTGTAGAACACACATTAACGTGACGTCTCTCTGTAGACTATGACGACGGCTTCTCCATGAAGCACATGGCAGCTGCTCGTTTCCAGAGGAACCACCGGCTCATCAGCGATATCCTGAGTGAAGTGGTCGTGCCGGACGTTCGCTCCGTGGTCACCACCGCCCGCATGCAGGTCCTAAAGCGGCAGGTCCAGTCCCTCATGGTGCACCAGGTACGTCTGATTGATAAACGGGTTTAATCGCAGATCCACTAGAGCAGAGCTCCTCAGATCCAGACCTTGAATCCAGGTTCCGGTCCTGGATTGTGAATCACTGACACTAGGGCTCTGAGTGGTGGTGATAGGAACCAGGGGTCGCCATGGCTACAACACAAATATAGACATTTTATTTACTATCCAGAACCACCAGTGAACCTACACGAGTCTTCTGAGTTTATATGAATGTTGATGATGGAAAATAGTGGAAGATCTGAAATAGTAAGTTTTCTTTGGGGACTATTTTGCCTCACAGCGCCCTGCATGTATCCCTCCACCATGAATGGAGTTTAAGTTCTCTAAACTATCATAAAACAGTGTCTCAGTCATCAGGCAGTGAATTCATAACCATTTCATGTAGGAACTTTCTGTGAGGGAGCTTTTAGAGGTGGACGTCTGGTTCCTATCACCACCACTGTGAACAGTTCTGACTCGGTAAGTTTATCTAGAATGGCACATTCATCAGAGCGCGATTTTGGTTGGAGCAGTTTTTCAGAAAGTCGGAACCTCAGTGTTCCCTCTCTTGTTCTGGAGTGTGACCACTACGGCTCCCACATGACAGCAGCAAAGCGCTGTGGATATCACAGTTTGTCAGTTTGTTTGGGTCGTCGCTTTGAGCCTAAACCTTCTGAAGAAAGCCTGTGTAGCGCAGAATGTTTTACCAGTTTTTGTTAAAGGCCGTAAATTATTATAACTCATAAAATGAAGTGTGTGTTGTCTTCAGTGAATGTTCATGGCATAAAAAAATCAACGGATCATATGGTGCAGAGTAGAGTTTCTCTGTGTGAGCGAGGAGTGAAAAGCTGGAGCCGAGTGATTACAAAAATCTCGGAAACGTCTGCTGCTCCACTGCACACTTCCACACCAAACCACTCTGAATGACTGTGTTTACATCTTAACTGTTTAATCATGCAGAAAATTTTAAAAATCAGTGGAGTGTCCCTTTCAAGTCCTGGATTTGAAGAGCTCTGCACTAGAGGGCGCTGTGGGCTGTGCCTGATATTTCTGAGGAAATACGCCTGGACGTATTAACATGTGATTTATTAAGTGTGGTCTGATTTTTTTGGGAGACTGATTGTTGGTTTGTTTTGGTCGTTCGTTCAGAGGAAGCTGGAGGCGGAGCTGCTGCAGATCGAGGACAGACACCAGGAGAAGAAGAGACGCTTCCTGGAGTCCACAGAGTCCTTCAACAGTGAGCTCAAACGGGTGAGAGTGGATCGTCTCTGAAACTAACCACGTTTACATGCAGCCTAATAATCCGGTAATAATCCAACTGATAGCTCAATCGGAATAGTCTAGTCTGACTGAGGCCATTCAGAATACAGTTCCTATCTGACTGATCGAGGTGGGTGATCCTGTAAATAATCCGTTAAATAGAAGAATAATATCCGTGTAAACGCCTGTATCTGATTACATTCCCTATCGGAAAGTTTAAGTCCGTTCTGATCGTGTTCGTCACGTCATAGTGAGAGTTTATACCGTTCAACATGGCGGAGCAGAAACTGGTCTGCAGAGGAGACGAAGTTTATGCTCTGGTCTTTAAAAGACGGCGGTGGGACGGACGTCCAGCTTATGTGTCTCAGAACACGACGTCTTCCTCTCGGCCTTCTTTAATAAGGACATGTGAAGGACGTTTTCCTGAGTCTGACATCATTTTAATGTCATTAAAAACACAAGCGCTGCTCACTGCTGCTCATCTCACTCTGACTGGACTCACGTGATGCTGGTTGTCATGGTAACGTCTACACTAAGCGGTTCTCTACGCATGCGCGTCACTTTGGATCTGATTATTTGTAGTGAGCATGTAAACAGAGACTTCCCATCAGATTGTTGAGTAGAGTGAGAATAAACACCTCATTTATGATCGGAATGAATTCAAACGGTTTGGCAAAAATCTTTGCACATAAATGCAGACAGTGATACATATAAGCTCAGATATATGATAATGTCTGTTACAAACTTCAGATAAAACATGAAATGAGTTTAAAAGCTTCAGATGTCCCGGTGTAAATCTATAACGACCCAAAACATCTTAACGGTCAGTAGAGTTAGCTTAGCGCTAACATGCTGTAAGAAATCGCATTGGGGCGCCAGCAGAAATTAGCCTGGTCTTTAAAACTGTCTTTGGGTTATTTCTGGGATATTTAGAGTTCTAACGGTCAGGGTTCTCCAGTGAAGCGTCTATATGTGCACGTGTATTAAAGCGTAAGTGTGTTGCAGCTGTGCGATCTGAAGGTGGAGGTGGACATGGAGAAGCTGGCAGCGGAGATGGCAGCGGCGGAGGAGGCGGCGCGGCGGCGGGCGGAGGAGAGAGAGAGGGAGGCGGCGGAGCAGGCCGAGCGAGCGACTCAGGAGGAGCAGCAGGGGGGAACCGGGGGAACGGCTAACGCGGAACAGAACAGCTCTGAAAATAAAGAACAGCAGGACAAACCCAGCCCAATGGAGACAGGTCAGAACCACAGCACCACACTGAGGAGAACCTCATACCTCAGAGAACATTCATAAACACGTCAGTGAACTGTGAAGGAGCAGAACCTCAAAATAACCGGATTGATTCCACCAGGTTCTCACTGTACTCCACAGTCAGTCGATCAGCTGAGACGTGTTCGGGGTCTGAAGTTTAATCCTTTAGTGTTGACGCTCGAACCACGAGGCTAATCTAGCTACCAAAGTAATGGAAACTTATAGCCACCAGTTGGCATGGTGCTAACTCTGCAGAGGGTTCTGTATAGCACCTTTTTGGAAATTGTTCTGTATAGCACCAAAAAGGGTTCTTCCATTTGGTACATGCTTGACATATAACAATAACAGAACCTGTTGCTATGTAGAACATCATCTGCAGCCCTTTAAAATTTTTGCGATTTTCAGCCTTTTAACATGCTAGCAGACCCACATTGTGTGTTTTATGGCTTTTTTTTGTTTGTTTGTTTGTTTGTTTTGGTCGAGCGACGCTTTTCACCTGGCTGTAATCTGGTCATTAGAAGATCCCGACGCTGGACACTTTAAATCAGCCTGAAAACGGTCCTGTTAGAGCAGCTTTCAGCTCAGTTTGAACACTGTTAGCTCTGCTGCTCTTCTCTCCTCTAACGCCGCTCTATTATACTCAGTTCAGCTTTAATCTGATTTTAATTTAATGATTATTTATTCTCTTTTAAAATGTTTGAATCCTGTTTTAATCATGCTGTAATTTCTATTCTCGTTTGTTAATTTGTTATAATTAGAATTGTTTTTCCCCCCATGTGTAAATCACTCTGAGTGACCTCAGTGTATGAGAGGTGCTGTATTAATAAACTTGCCGAATTGTTGGTGTTTAAGCTTCCGTTACTAGTTTGCTGTGTTTTCCTTGAAGCTGCAGCGCTAAAACTGAAATCACTGAATGTCTTTTTCTCTCTATCATTTTTAAACCAAACTGTCTCTTTAATCGTGTTTAATCATCCGTTTCTCTCTCCTTCCAGACGAAGCTCCAGCTGAAGCGTCCGAAGGGCCGGCGGAGTCTGAGGAGCGTCCGGCGGGCGGCGTGGCAGAGAAGCCGGCGCAGGTGGAGCCAGCAGAGGGCGCTACAGACGAGGGCACGAGCGACAGCACGGCTCCGTCAGAGAGCAGCTCGGGGCCGCCGGCTGACGCCCCCGCATCCGAAACGGGCTCAGAGGAGCGCCCCCCGGCCCCCAGCCAGTAACGCAGGGCCACGCAGACCCCAGTTCAGAGGTCAAGGGTTTATAGCCCCGCTCACCTTTGCTTTAAAGGGCCACTTCAGCGTCTTTCAGTGATGCCTGTTAGCCCAGTCAGTCAGCCTGGACGATAATCTGAATTTAGAAAAGAACAGAAAACCTGTTTATTCTAAAAGCTCTTCCATCAACCATAAACAACAAATACAGCAAATACAGATTCGCTCGAAAACCTCTGGAGTGGCCCTTTAACGAAAACCCGCGTTATGCAGATACGAAGCTCCACATCTGGCCCAGAAAAGCAGCCAAGACTCTGCTGTTCACTCCTCCTAGAAAAGCTCCCGGACCCCGTCTGAAAGGATAAATCGGCCTCTCAAAACACGTTTCTCGCTTTTCTCGTCCGTCTGCTCTCCTTTTCCCGCCGTGCTGTCGCCTCAGTTCGTTATTTTTGCATTAAATCTTCGTTGCCTTTCTTTAATCTGGAGTGTTAGTCAGTAGAATGTGGGTGATTAGTGATTTCAGATCTAGTTTTTCTCTCTTTTCCTCCTTTTTTTTAACGCTCCCTGCGAGCCTCGTACACGAGTTTGGTTACATATCGCAGCAGATGAGCCGCAGGTGGGACTGTAGGTGATCTGGAACGTTCCTGCCGGCTTCGTTAGCTGTGGCGGTTTTGTATTGTCATAAAGGAATTACCCAATAAAGTGATTTCTATGTCTGTTTTAAAATATCCGCAGCGTTTCTCTTTCATTATGAATGCAGATTTATATGTAGCGAATTCAAATGCAGGGAAGTGTTACTAACTTCAAAGAGCTCATCATACATTTGATGTTTAATGTTTGTTTGATGTACCAAAAGCCATTAAGATGGAATATATAAAAATCCAAAGCATTGAATAAAAAATATCTAATTCTGACAAAAAGGTGACAGTAGAACTAAATGATAATAGTAATTATGAAAAGGGTAAATAACTCAGCAGAAACATGAAAATGTTATTGAAGTGTCTCAGTCATCAGGCAGTGAATTCATAACCATCTCATGTAGTAACTTTCTGTGAGGGAGCTTTTAGAGGTGGACGTCTGGTTCCTATCACCACCACTGTGAACAGCTCTGACTGAGTTTCTCTAGAAACCAAACCGCTCTGAATGACTCTGTTTACAGCTTAACCAGTTAATGATGCAGGAATTTTGAAAATCGATGGAACTTTCCTTTGACGTTCTGCATTGAACTTGTTTAAATAGTGGAGAAAGTTCAGTTTCTCAGATTTTCTCCACTGTGTTAGAATAACTTCTTATTCTGAATATCAGCTGCAAAGTTTTGTATAATAAACTGAAGTGTTAATAGGTATAGATAAAAAAACAAGGGGGAATATATAGGCTTTTTAATTTTAAATATATATTAAGTGTATATATTTTTTTAAATATATTTTTATTTTTTCTAATCCCCAGTATATTAAACTGAGCAGATAGATAGATTGTGCACTGTAATGTTCTAAAAATGGTCATATTTAAGTTTATTCTCTGTACATGATGTTTTCAGTAAACCACTGAAAAGTACGGTGGCTGAGAAGATCCAACAAACTGCAAACTGCAAATAAAAAAAACGATCTGCAAAGTAGAAACACTCCTCAAAACGATGCTGCGTTTTACAAACGCGCTGATAATCCACTCAACACGGCGGAGGAGTTTCCGGAGAACGGAGACATTCAGACCTTTACGTTCACTGGGAAAAGGAAGCTACTTCTATTACAGCAGATTACACGTCTCTGTAGCACGATGGGGCTAATCTGCACAGATTAACCGTAAACATTTAACCAGTAACACCAGATTAACGACCTCAGCACAGCTTCGACACGTCAGACAGCAAACTAGCCAGTCAGGCTAACCCTGAACTGGGGATGAGTGTCTGAGTGTCTGTGGTCTGATCTACTTCCTTCAGTGATTTTCCATCATCGATGTTCCATCCTCTTTGTTTTCCAGAGACACTTCCGTTGTGTCGTGACTGGCATTGCGGTGTTTTTGAAGTTGTCCGTGTTTCTTTATTCGCAGTGCGTTCGTTAAACGCAGCTCTGATGTCGTCGTGTTGATGAAAGTGTTTTCTGTGATTTTATGAGTTTGCGAAGTTTTTAAATTGTTCTATGATCCGAGTCTCATCGGCCCCCGTAGAAAAATAACATAAGATACGTTCACATTACGAGCCTCGTTGCTCAAATCCGATTTTTTGCTCAAATCCGATCTCTCTGACAGGATGGTTCACACTGGTTTAGCTAAGTGATTCAAATCTGTCATTAATGTGACGAACCGGCGTCCTGAAATGACCCTCATGAGCTCATCCTGCTCAGTAACGTCACGTGAATGAATCACGTTCATCATCAGCACAAACTAACGAGCAGAACGAGCTTCGCTGAGAAGATCATTAACTCTGATCAGCTCTCAGCTTCATTATTAGAGCGAGACGAAGGAGAAAAAGGTGAGATGAGCTGCTTTTCCACCGTTTACAGGCTTTAACTTCTGTTCGGCGCTGTTGCCATGGTAACGCTGAATGATGGTGCAGTGGAAAAAAGCACATGAATTCCGATCTGAGCGTCACTTTAAGGTCACATGGCCACGAATCGGATACGTATCCGATCTAGGACTACATATGAAAGTGGCTCAGGTTGGATTTGAAAAGATCAGATTTGCCACACAGCTCTGAAAACATCAGATCTGAGTCACATCAGGGCAAAAAATCGGATGTGTGCCACTTCAGCCTGGTAATGTGAACACAGCCAAACTGAACTGTGGAAAATATGACAATTCTTAATGTTCCACACTGAGTGTGTTTACATGCACTTAATAATCCGATAACTGCAGAAAATCAGGTTTTGTCAGTAATCTGTTCAACGCATTTACATGCACTTGAGTAATCAGATAATGTGGAAACTCCAGGTATACATGAGTCAGACAGTAATCAGATTTCTGCTTTACAACCAGGCAATAAACTCACAGAAGAAGATGCAACGTAAACGTAACGTAAAACTCAAACTTCACACCGCGGCTTTTTTTTAAACGACGCGCCGCTTTACCTGAAAATATGAACCTCATCATCTAGAAGATGAAGAAGATTTAAATCCTTTATTTCCTGTTTGGTTTCAGCGCCGCTCCAACAGTGTTTTGCTGCGTCTCGCGACGTCCACCGTCTGATCTCGCGCTGCTCAGACTGAGAAATCCGATAGAAATCAGAGTAAGAGTTTACGTGCACTGAGAAATCTGATTACTGAGCTAAAGTCCAGCCTCTTTATCAGATTTCTAGATCGGAGTATGGAGTTTACATGACCATTTGAATAATCGGCTTGATCGGATTATTGAGTGCATGTAAACACACTCAATGATTTTCAGACTTTGGGACACATTTACTTCAAAACAATGGGATCTAACTGCTCACCATGAGGGACAGGGATGCAGCCTCACTTCCTGCTGTAAAATGCAGGGGCGTGGCTAAAATAAGGCTCCGCCTACAGACTAAAACTCAGTGGTGTGAAAATGTGGGACAGCATTTTTATTTAAAAATTAAACTTTTGAATCTGAATCTTCCAAATTCACTTTATGAGCCAATGAGATCCTAAAAGAACCCTATGAATGATGACTGTACTGTGGCGTCGGTGCACGTCTGGGCTCTGTTTAGTCACGGTAGCATTTCTTATGCTGAGGGACTTTTATTTTGAAGGGCAGGTCTCGGTCCTGACCGCATGGTTTATGTAGCGCTACACTGACTTCCTGAGTAAATTCCAGTAAAGCTGAGTTATGGACCAGAACTTTCTTGGAGGAACCTTCACTACACTCCTGAAAAGGGGCTTTAAGGGTTCTTTAGTAAAGACAGTGGCTCTGCAGAGAACCATGAACACTCAAAGAACCGTTTCCTGCTTAAATGGTTCTCTGCATGGTGAAATGGTTCTTCACATTGATGGAGTGTGTGTTCATGGTTCTATGTAGAACCTTTTTGAAAAGGGTTCTATTACTATTAGGATGTCAAACTGGTAAAAATAGAAGAACCCTTTTTTGTGTTATAAAGAACCACTGTTTTTACGAAAGAACCGTCTGTTTTGAGAGTTCCCTGTATTTTATTACTGCTGTGTCTAAACGGATCAGAACGTGATGCTTATAAAGGTCTAAGATTTGATTATTTTACTTATTTTGATTTATTTTGATTTATTTAAAATAGTTTTTACTGTGGAACCACAGTTTGAACTGGTTCAGTAGAACAGTCTAGGCTGCAGGTCAAAGGTCAGGAGGCTAAACTGAGTACAAACAGGTTTAAAAATGAAAAACAAGCTCAGCTTGCTCTGTTTACAGCCCAGTTTCAGCTGCTTTACTCATTGTGAACAGCAGGGGGCGCCATTTCACTCCGTACAGCCTCCCAGCTGCTCAGAGGGTCAGCAGTTCAGACTGTTAATGGAAACTGAAGCTTGTTTGTTTGTTTGTTTGTTTGTTTATTGTAGTAGGTTTTTTTGAGGGTGGAGTTGATTTTTATGATGTTAATTTATAAACAAAACAATCATTATTTCTCCAGTACATTAAAGCAAATAGAACAGTAAGTAAATGGATTTTAAAGAGTAAATAAGCAGATTTTAAAGTGTAAATACGTTTTAAAGAGTAATAAACATATTTCAAAGAGTAAATAAACATTTTAAAGTGTAAATAAACAGATTTTAAGAGTAAATAAACATTTTAAAGTGTAAATAAACAGATTTTAAAATGTAAATGTTTTAAAGAGTGATAAACATATTTTAAAGAGTAAATAAACAGATTTTAAAGTGTAAATAAACAGATTTTAGAGAGTAAATATACGTTTTAAAGAGTAAATATATGTTTTGAAGAGTAATAAACATATTTTAAAGAGTAAATAAACGTATTTTAAAGTGTAAATACTTTTTTAGAGAGTTAATAAAGAGAGACAGAAGTGTTCTTGCTGCTTCTCAGTTCAACACAGGAAGTTTTGCGGTGTTAACCAGAGGAAACTGCAGCTCACATACACACACACACTCAGACACATTCACACACACTCACTTCTGAAACGCTCCGACAGCTCATCACACACACACACACACTCACACACTCACACACACACTCACTAACACACTCACACACACACACACTCACAGCCACTGACGGGTTAAAAGCTGGAGTTTATTTTTAATCCATCATAAATATTCATCATTAATTCTCAGTGATGAGTCGTTAGTGCAGCAGAGATGATCTTCAGCTCCTCACTGACCTGATCCGACTGATCCCACTGATCCGACTCGTAGCTGCTCTGCGTCCCGATCAGGAGAGACACATATGAACGTGTGCGCGGGTCACTGGGGTCACCGACAGGCCAGAATTCAGAATTTATAAGTTTGGTTGTGGTGAATTGAACCAAAAGGTGTTTCACTGTTTTACTGTTTGCTGTATTTACAGTTGACACTCAGTCAGTCTGTCACAGTCAGACGAGGCCGAGAATAAAGAAATCACCATTAAAACTTCACTAATGAGGTCACTGTGGTTGTGGTCACAGTGGTGGTCCTCCGCTGAGGTGGTCCGTGCTGTCGCCATCTAATCTGGATTCTGTTCTGATTATCTGCTGCAGTGAGACTCTCAGCCTCACAGCGGCTTTTAAAACGCCTGTTTCACACAGCGCTGCAGTTCATCCTACAGCAGTTTAGCCCCGCCCATTCATCCTACAGCAGTTTAGCCCCGCCCGTTCACCCTACAGCAGTTTAGCCCCACCCATTCATCCTATAGCAGTTTATCCCCGCCCATTCACCCTACAGCAGTTTAGCCCCACCCATTCATCCTACAGCAGTTTAGCCCCGCCCATTCACCCTACAGCAGTTTAGCCCCACCCATTCTTTATGGGGATGTTGAGCACGTGCGCTGATGTTTGTAGCTTAATCAGTGCGTGAACCGAGAGCTGAACCGCGTGAGAGAAACACGTTAATCAGAGGATCCTGTTTCCGCACCGGTTACTGACGCTAAAGAAGTCATTTCATTTAGTTGTGTTTACGCTGAGAGTCACAGACAGAGAACCGTAAAGCAGAACCGTTTCACAGCAGTGACTAATGTAGAACTCTGTTTTTAAACCAGCGCTACGATAAACGCTCCTCCAGTGTTCGCCATGGTGGCTAGCAGAGTCAGCGTCAAGCTAGCAGAGTCAGCGTCAAGCTAGCAGAGTCAGCGTCAAGCTAGCAGAGTTAGCTCAGCGCTATGTAGGTTTTTGACCTGAGCTCCAGTTTAAATGCAGACAGTTTTAGCTGAAGCAGCACTTCAGGAACGTTCTTCACTGCGTGTCTCGTTTTCTAAGTGACGCTTTATTTACAGGCTAAACCTGAAGTCTGTCTTTTATTGCTGCAGCGTTAGCCTGTTAGCCGCTCCCTGGTCAGGCTGAACGTGTCCAGGTTATAAAGAGGGTGTAATGTGTAAAAATACACTCCCACAGCTCATCTCACACAGGGTCACCGACGGGTCGGGAGCTGGAGTTATAATCAAATTCATCATGAATATTCATCACTGTTGAAGGAAGAGGCGACTTTGCTGGAATCAAATTCAAAATGGGCGTTTATTTAAAAAACAATCCAGTTTCTCAGTTTCAACATTTATTATGTTGCCTTGTTCTGTTTTTTGGTTAAATATGGTTTTAATTGATTCGCGCGTCGCTGCTTTCTGTTATACCTACAGTTTGCACAGCGACCAAACAATAACTTCAAAAGTACTTTATCTGATAATGTAAATATTTCAGCAGCAGCCAGTCAGAACAGAGCTCATTTGCATATATGAGTCTTAAAGGCGCAGTAACAGAAACAGCCTGTTTGATTGTAAGAGGTACAGAGAGGCTGTAAGTGATGATGTAGAAACACATCATGACGTAATAAGTGGAGCTCAGAGGGGGGAAGTGGGTCTGAGCTCTTTAACGTGTATTTTCTCTGATTATGGCAGAGTGGTGGGGGGGGGTAGGTGGTGTTATAGTAATATATGGACACCCCCAGCCAGCACCACCCCCCCTTTAAAACGATGCCCTGATCTGATGAATGTAAAGTGATCAGTAACGAGTAGAACGCCGCTGTAATTATTCGCCCCCTCTCTCAGTAGGTGTGGTATTAGCACACTGCACTGGAGTTGGCGGGCGTGGCTGAAGCACCGCGTAATCGGAGTGGGCGTGTCCTGCGCGCCGTGTGTGGTGCTGTTCCGTGTCGCGCGCAGCAGAAGCGGCAGCAGTGTCGGCGCGCGGAGGCTGTGAGGATGGCGGATCTCGCGCAGAGTGGCAGCGACGGAGAGCAGCGCGCGCGGGGCTTCGCGCGCCAGGGCGCCCTGAGGCAGAAGAACGTGCACGAGGTGAAGGACCACAAGTTCATCGCGCGCTTCTTCAAGCAGCCGACCTTCTGCAGCCACTGCACGGACTTCATCTGGTGAGATCAATGATCATATTAATCACGTCAGTAACTCGTTACACCCGCCGATCAGCGGTTATTGATTTATCATCAGTGAGACTATTAGAGTTCAAACTGTTTCATCTCTCGACTTTGATGTTTACGCTGTAAATAAACTGAGGAAGTGAAACAACAACAGCGTGAAGTTCAGAGAAAAACAAACGAGCAGTAACCAGATAAAATACTCTATACATTTAATATATATGTGTGTGTGTGTATGTTTACTGTGTTTGCACAGTAAACGGTTCTACATAAATGGTTCTACATAATACCGAAAACTGTTCTGCTGTTGCTGCAAGCTTGGCTTTGTGACTACAGCAGAACCTTTTTTGGTGCTATATAGAACTATGTACAGCATATTCTCCATCACCCTGAAGAACCATTTGACCGTGCAGAGAACCACTTAAGCATGAAACGGTTCTATATATAACTCATGGTTCTAAATAGAGCCATGGCGTTTACTAAGAAACCCCAGGAGAACCATATAAGAGTGAATACGTTAGAATGAAGTCTTGTGTCTCGTTTCTGCCGCTTTCCAGTCTGGGCTGATCTGAAATCTGCCTGTCGGCCTTTACGCTCTCACTGTTACACACTGAGCAGGTTTAATGATGAGAAGCTCCAAAATCACAATCTGATCTGGTTCTTTTGACTTCAGATCAGGGTTAGAACGTCTCTCCTGCTGCTGTTTGCAGAGAAATCAGGCTTTGTTTAACAGTGATGATCCACATATACACACATATCCAGGGATGCAGGATATGGGGTGATGGTTACAGTGAGCTGAGGCTGATATCTGATATTTTTCATGTAAACATTTATAAAATGTATAAATTAAGACTGAATCCTGTGTAATAAATAATAAATAATAATAAATAAATGCAGTGTTTCAGTGCAGAAACTCAGCGTCACCTGAACCCTCACTGATATGATTCTGATATCAGGTGTAATAATAAACACTGATCAGATGGTATAAAGACAACATTCAGACCTCAGTGTGGTGATGAGAATTCACTTCAAGGAGAAAATGTCACCGAAAATCAACTAATAAATCATCAAATGTCAAGTTTTAGTCCTGGTGTTTGTCACGTTTGTGAGACACTCCGGTGCAAATAAACAGATAAACGAGTAAACAAGCTGGTAAACAAAGTTCCTCTAACGCTCTGTGTGCTTGTTTGTTCTGCAGGGGTTTCGGGAAACAAGGATTTCAGTGTCAAGGTAGGAGCGCCGCCCCCAACAGCGCCGACGAGAGGAGCTGAATAAGTGATAAGTTCTGTAGATGAACTGATAAAGGGATGGGGTGGCTGGGGGTGGGGGGGTGTTTCCCGCTCAAACACGCTCAGATAATGATCTGTAATGCCTCTCAGACGAGAGACTCTCATCAGAAACATGTTTATGTAAAGACTTTGTGTGTCGTCTGCGTATATAAGTGTGATTAGACATAGTTAATTACACAGAACAAGGTGATTAATTGTGATTAATCATTTTCAGTCGGTTTACAGTGCTGATTATCATATATACATACTGTGATCTAACACTGTAAACTGTTTAAAAACGATTAATCGCCTTGTTTTGTGTAGTTAACAACAGTTAATCACACTGTTTTGCGTCGTTAGTTGTAATTAATTACATTATTTTATTGTAGTTAATTGCAGTTAATTGCATTGTTTGTGCAGTCGGTTGCAATCACTCTGATTGTTTTGTACAGTCAATCGCAGTCAATCACGCTTTTTGTGTTTCCGTTGTGATTACATTATTTTTCTGTAGATTTTCAATCAAACACTATTTGGTGAAGTTAATCACAATCACATTATTTTGTACAGTTAATCGCAATTAATCACATATTTGTGTAGACAGTTTTGATTAAGTACACTACTATTTTGATGTAGTTTATCACAAATAAACACATTTTATTGTGTAGTTAATCACAATTATTCACATTTTTTGCACTCATTTGCAACTAATCGCACTATATTCACGATTATTCAGATTATTCTGTGATTATTCATGATTGATTGCTCAAATTTGGCCCTAAAGAAGGATGTGTTCCCATTTATAAAGCAGTGCATCGTGCTGTAGCTGCGTGATTGGACAAAAATAAGCCTCATCAGAAAAAAGTATGTATAGTTTTTGATATGTCAGTAACGTTATTTGTATCGTGTGACTGCAGAAGCTCCAGAAAGTGAAGGCAGTGTTCATCACGTATTTGTGGAGCAGTAGGAGCTGTTAGCTGGTAGCTGTTAGCGTGTTTAGTGTCTGCACTGCAGTGTGTGACTCTTCACACACACAAGTTGGTGTTGCTATACTTGTGAGGAGTGTTCGTTACTGTAGCTGCACCTGAACCCCAATCTGACCTCAGTGACCCGACGGCGATCCTTCTGCTCTTTAGTTGGTTTGTGGTGAAAACAGGACGTTTCACAGTGAGGGGCAGCAGAAGGTCCTCACTCGTGCAAGGCAGTCGTGTTATCTGCCCGTCCTGAGGACGCTGGGTCCTCAGAGAGCCGAAGACGACTCGCCCCGCGCCGGTTAATTAGAGTGTCTGTTTCACACGCTGACCGGCTCATTCATTTTGAACGAGGACGCTTCGCTCACTCACACTGTTTGAGTTTCTCACACAGGATCGGGTTCTGTTCAGCTCTTACACACACGCTGACCCTCATTACGGTCAGATTAACCGGTTTCATCCCTCGTCTGACCAGCTCAGGTGAGCTAGACGTGTGTGTGTAAATAGGAGCGGATTATTTTAACAGTTAAATGATCAAAACCTTCATCAATATCATCAATAGTATCAGCAATAACAGTAATAAATAGAACATAGTGTCAATATTAACTGGAAAAGTGGATTTCCTGTGCAGCTGCAGCGCTTCCCACTCTTAATAAGGACGGTTCTACAAGGGTTCTTCAGTAAAGACAATGCTTCTGTATAGAACCGTGAGCACTCAGAGAACCACTTGAATGCCTAAATGGTGTAGTGGTTCTTCAGATTGACGGAGAATGTGTTGTATATGGTTCTGTGTAGCACCAAAAAGGGTTCTACTATTGTTACAGTGTCAAGCTTGCAACAGTAGCAGAACCCTTTGTAGAACCATTTTCAAAAAGATTCTATATAGAAGCATATACAGCACGTTCTCCATCAATCTGAAGAACCATTTCACCTTTCAGGCATGCAAGTAGTTCTTTGAGTGCTCACAGTTCTATACAGAACCACTGCCTTTACTAAGGAACCCTTGTAGAACCATGTTTTGTAAGAGAGCAGGCGGTTGCTAGAGTACTGCCAAACAGTTATTATGGTATATAAGGTGGTAGCTAAACTGTCGTTAATTGGTTGTCATGGTATCCCAGGTGGTTTCCAGGGTGTTGCTAGATGGTTGCTATGGTTTCTACAGTGTTGCTAGGTGGTTACCATGGTATCCCAGGTGGTTTCCAGGATGTTGCTAGGTGGTTGTTATGGTATCCCAGTGATAAAAACAAATGCTGCTTCTATTTTAAGATTCCGTAAAAATACGAAACACAGTTCATTTCATTTACTGCAGTAATACAGTAATACTAGACACTCACATCACTCTACAAGCTGAAACACTAAGACAGCAGGGGGGTCAGGGCTCGACCCCAAACCCCGCTTTTGAGGACAGCCATTGGCTTGTGAACCACTGAATACTTTCCTTTTATTGGTTCACTATTCAAACATTAGCATAAATTAGGGTGGCCTTTGTGTAAATTGTATTATGGTAAATTGTCCTTTGCAAATGATATGCAAATAAGCTAATTATGCGCCTCAGATGTAGCTGATGAGCTCAGACATGTTTGATGTCTTTAGTTTCAGCGCTGGAGCTACGAGGCAAATGCAGCTAACAAGTAATGGACACTTATACCCACCAATTAGCATTATGCTAACTGCATGCCTAGATCATTGCTCACTTGAATCAAAAGTGTTAGTAGAGTTAGCTTCCTGTTCTCCAGCCAGAGCGTAACTGCTGCCCCATTTAAGGTGGAACGGAGAATTCCAAATGCGAAGCTGGGGAGCGGGAAGCTGCCTTCGGCGTTTGTGCCTCAAACCGTGTGGAGTCGATGCGTTTGATGTAAAATTTGGTTAATTTCGATTTCAGACTGAAGTATCGCTTTAAAGCTGCTGTGGTTTCCCGACGGCTCTCCGCTCCATTTTAGCTCCTCAGGGGCGAGAGCTCGTTCTAATAACAGGCGCAGGCGTTATGATTCAGTGCTGGAGAATAATGAAGGCTTTACTCCACTGTTCAAAAGCCAGTTGTAATATTAATAATTCATACGCAACAATAGCTCATACAGCACATTACAGTCATAAATGTTACATTTATATTACCAGTATTTTACATTTACATCTTAATGTATTAAATATACACAGCAACTCATATTTTAGATGTTATAATCAATATTAAAGTACTCAGGGAACAACACAAACTCAGTTAAACACTACAGTTATTCATTTATTTATATATTCATAAATATCTGTTTGTATATTTAACAGCAAAAACAGAACAACGGAATGGAATTCAGCTTAATGGAGTGTGTTCAGTTCTAATGGGCTGTGTTATAGTGGAATGGACTGTGTTAAGGTGGAATGGATTGTGTTAAGGTGGAATGGACTGTGTTAAGGTGGAATGGACTGTGTTAAGGTGGGATGGACTGTGTTAAGGTGGGATGGATTGTGTTAAGGTGGAATGGACTGTGTTATAGTGGAATGGATTGTGTTATAGTTGAATGGATTGTGTTAAGGTGGGATGGACTGTGTTAAGGTGGGATGGACTGTGTTAAGGTGGGATGGATTGTGTTATGGTGGAATGGATTGTGTTATAGTTGAATGGATTGTGTTAAGGTGGGATGGACTGTGTTAAGGTGGGATGGACTGTGTTAAGGTGGGATGGATTGTGTTAAGGTGGAATGGACTGTGTTATAGTGGAATGGATTGTGTTATAGTTGAATGGATTGTGTTAAGGTGGGATGGACTGTGTTAAGGTGGGATGGATTGTGTTATGGTGGAGCTTTTGGTGTTTGCACCATCCACATATTCTCCACTCAGAACCATTCCTCTTAAAGCAGTGGTCACCAGCCATCCTTTCAGAGATCTGCCATCCTGCTGAGGATCTTCTCCAGCTCCAAACCTCAGAACCCTCATCCAAGACCCTCAATACAGTCGCAGCTGGTTTAGAGCAGATGTGGTTGATCAGGGCTGGACCTGAACTCTGGATCACCTCCAGACGCTGTGCTGCTGGCTCAGTTTTCGTTGATCTACTGAAGTTGCTCCTCTCTCTGAGAGCAGGTCTGTAGCTGATGTAAACAGGAATTCCTCAGCGAGGTCGGCTCTCTGGGTTACAGACTGTCTGAAGCTGCTCACTCTCAGCTCAGATCTCTGTATCTTTTAAAGTTAAATGAAAGGTCAGCCGTGCAGGACTAATGCAGCAGCACCCAAACACGCACTCCACCGGCTCTGCTTTTCTTCATCCGGAAAAATATTTACTCTCTGAAAATGAAAAGCTTAATGCCCAGAGCCCAGAGCTCACCGACTCAGTGTCCTCCAATAAAACCCAGCTAACTCGTAATGTTCTTCAGCACATCCCAAAAAACAGAAACCCCCGTCTTCAGAAACCCAAACGTTCTCAAAAAACCCTGACCCTTCTTCAGCTAAGACAAATGTTCTCCAATAAACCCTAACAAACCCCAACGTTTTCCAGCAAATCCCAACAATCCTAAATATTCCCCAGCAAACGTCAAGAACTCCAAAATGCTTTCCAGAAAACATGAAGATCCAGCATTGTTTCCAACGATGTTCAACAAATGCAAACCTTCTCCAACAAATGCAAACCTTCCCCAACAAACCCAAAACCTTTTTCAATAAACTCAAACCATCTCCAACAAATCCAATCCTTGTCCAACAAACTCAAACCTTTTCCAACAAACCCAAACCTTCTCCAACAAACTCAAACCTTTTCCAACAAACCCAAACCTTCTCCAGAAAACCCAAACCTTCTCCAGAAAACCCAAACCTTCTCCAACAAACTCAAACCTTCTCCAGAAAACCCAAACCTTCTCCAACAAACTCAACCTTCTCCAACAAACCCAAACCTTCTCCAACAAACTCAAATATTTTCCAACAAACTCAAATCTTCTCCAACAAACCCAAACCTTCTCCAGAAAACCCAAACCTTCTCCAACAATCTCAGACCTTCTCCAACAAACTCAAACCT